CCTACTAACATGCCCAAGTTTCCACTTTTTATAGGATTCCTTTTTGAGTTTCAACTCATTAAAAAGACTGCTGTCTAGCCGGGATGGTCTCCACTTACACTGCTCATTCTTCCACTGCATCAGGAAGCTTCTTTCTGCAGCCTTAATACAGTCTCTTTAAAATACATCCAGCTCTCCTGGACTCCTTTTTCCCCTCAGACTTGCTGTCACAAACACCATTTTGGTTTGGAGGTTTATGGGGTGTCATGATGAATGTATTTAGGTACTTTTCTGATTTTGAATGTGGTTTAATAAGAGGAACTTAGGAATGCCTAATTAAGGAGAAACAAGTAGATGTGACTGCTAAATTTCTCATGCTATGGCAAGCACATACACTAAAGCAAAAACAACTGCCACTCCCAGACATAAGCAGAATGGGATGTTATTGGGTTTGGCACCCAAGGCACTGTCTGCCTACAATGGAGAAATCAACTCCTTTATAGCAAATGCACTTGAGAAAAATGGCCTATCAGCCAGAAAAATGCCAGATGTCCCAGGGAGAGAAGTTTCCAAGTTTCCAGAGGATATTGGATGAGAAACCGTGACAACGCTGGGGGTGGGGGGGCAGCAGGGCTGGCCTGGAGATATTATAGGGCAGTAAGATGGCTATGGTCTTTGAATTTTCTCAGGCCTTGGAAGAGTCTAGGTCCCCAGCAATCAGGGCTGGCAGAATTACCAGGATGGATGAACTCTTTATATAATAAGTTATTTTGTTGATTTGCTCCTTACTGACTGCCTGTGGCACAGCATGATCACCAGGCAGGTATTCCAGGCTAGCTCATTCCATGGAAAGGGGGACCTAAAAGTGTTTGCACAATCCAAAGGGAGGCCACCTAGAGCTGGCAAAGATTCCCCTGCTGTGTTTGTGAGGTCTGGTACAAGGGCAGTGGAGCTGAGGCTTGCAAGTAGTTATCCCAAAACAAACCTTGGTCTGTTCCCAGGAACAAACAGTGGGACATTTGCAGATACCACTTCAGTTTGTGCTTTTCTTAACTTTCAAGTAGTTGGTTAAAGAACTGAAGTGAAGAATAATAAAAAATAATATATATAAATATTTGTACTGCTCTTACAAAATCATGTCTAAACAGCATTTAATAAAAAAACTCAACACATTATTCCCTACCCAGAAAATTTTGCCTCTAAAAGAAAGAGAATTTGTACTAAGATAGACTGATTGCTACCTCTTTCCTATTTGAAAGGAAAACTTTGCATTATGATGATATGAAGATGAGGTATATGAATTTATTATTTGTTTAAAAGGGAAAACACATAATTTTTCTCCTTGGAAAAATCAGCAACATTTTTGAACCAAAGATAAGCCTACCTTCTTTAAAAATAATCAATCATTCAAAACAGAGTAGATGCCTTTTTTCAACCTCAAATTACCATATTTAAAGACAAGGTTTAAAAAAGCCCCTCATCTTACATTCACATACAAGGAAACTTCATTAAATATATTGCCTACCATTAAACTGCTGCCAAAAGCAGTATGGGCTCAGTAATGCAATCTAGCTATGAAGTTGATTAAATGCAGCCAACACTGAGCATGACTATAAAACACATGGCCCACATTGGACAAACATGCTCATGGGAACCGTGTAGGTGTGTGTGTTCCCTCCACAAGAAACTGGCACCGGGCTTAAAGGTACTGCAATACCAGGCTGGCACCAAGAGGGCCAGAGCCAGCCGTGACCTTTGGTGCCAAAAATGCTATATTTGAACTTAGCCAGAAAGGCTGAGGATGAGTTACCACAACCCATCTAATTAACATTTAGTAGCGCACCACTGAGCACAGTCCCCATCAGTGCCAACTGTTTTTCCAAGTCATGGTGAGCCACTGCACTGCATGCTTTTTATTTCCTCTTCACTCCCACAACAGAGTTGCCCCTTTCTTTCCCATTTCCAATGATTTGTTTCTTCACCAGCCTTAAATGTCTGGCAAATATCACCAAACAGGGCCCAAACAGTTCACCCCGATTCCCTGTCACCCCCTCTCTCAGCTTGCTGCATATTAGCGTGGCCCTGTCCTCCATAAGGTGAAATCGAACCATGTTGCCTTCTGCCTCAACTTCACATAAATTTTTGGAGGATCCCAGGACTCCCGACAAGAACACCTAGTTCTAGTCATGAGTCAGGGTTAATTAGCGCACACAGATCCTTTCTGTGTGCGTGGGGGGGGGGGGGG